TGTTCATATGAAATCACCATAAATGGGTAATTTGTTCATGTGAAATCACCATAAAGTGGGTAATTTGTTCATGTGAAATCACCATAAAATGGGTAATTAGTTCATGTGAAATCACCGTAAGATGGGTAATTAGTTCATGTGAAATCACCATAAAGTGGGTTATTTGTTCATGTGAAATAACTATAAAATGGGTAATTTGTTCATGTGAAATCACCATAAAATGGGTAATTAGTTCATGTGAAATCACCATAAAATGGATAATTAGTTCATGTGAAATCACCGTAAAATGGATAATTTGTTCAAACCTCTACTATAGTACTTTGTCTCATGCTTTTTAAGTTTTAGTGTTCTTTATTCCTTCGGCTTCACTATCACATTTTGTCTTGTCTTTAAGTTGATTCATGGTTTGTATCGATAGGAATGTTTAGAAGAATAGTCTTAACTAATAAAATCGAAAATTTAATTACAAATTTAAACCTGAAAATCCATGAACAACTAAATTTAATTGTACCGCCCACTTACTAACTGTATCAGTTCCTGAACGCCAGTCGTACCCTGAACCACCTTTTTGAAAGGGTTGAACCAGAAGGAGGAGGAGCTTAGAAAAGCACGTGAGCTTCCACTGTTTCCCGCCACTTGGAATCAGACGAACGCACCTGCCATTTTTGAATTCCAAATTGTTGATCTACGATTTCCAAAATATCTCATGTATATTTAGGGTAAAATTAAACGATTCGATTATTAATACCACGAAATTAATCATTAAAGGTTTCTGACAACCGACTAAAGTTTCTGGCAACCAGCACAGAAAATGTCTTATTCGCTTTCATCAAACTTTAAAGTTATATACATATTCAGGCAGAATTAACAGTTATACATATACCTACATAAGTTTAAAATTAGCTATAAGAAATTTGATACTATTTTTACATATAAACAAAATAAAAACTGTTATAAATTACAGGGTATCAATCCGTAACAAATAGTTTCAACATCGAGAGCAAAAAATTTTTATATAAAAAAGGCACACCCTTTTCTTATTGAGCACGACGCCATCTATACGTAGTTGGTTTCACTATAGTTATAAAGTAGCATCGGCAATCAGCAAAAACATTCAACATGGCGGACAACATCATTGGACTGTTTCGTCTATAGAAATAAGAAGATTAGTTAAACAACGTAAAAGAGGTAAGGAAATTTTGCCTCATTTGTTAATTGAGACATTGCATCATTTGTATGTAGTTGCACGATCGTTAAAGGCTGAAAAAACTATGTTTTTCGATTTGAAAAAAAAGTTTATATACTATAGCTATGTCCTCTGTACTGCTCGCATTCGCACGAGCTGGTCAGCTGCTTGGCGCGTGAAGTGCTGCCAGACGTTCGTTCACGTAACGTTAGATTGTGTTGCGCGTCTGTTCTTAGTCTGGGCGTCTGTTAAGAATAAGTATGGTTTCTTAAACGACTCTGCGCAAAGTAGTTATTTTTATTTGAATATTTGAAAACAACAACAAAAAATGTTAGTAACAACGTACATACATTAAATAGAATTATCTTGTCGGGAACACTTTTGCTTTCATAAAAATCATGAAATTTTAAAGTTTTAGCTCCCGTAGAAACCCGCCAATTCACTCTTTATTTATCAGTAGAGACAGGAAACGTATATAATTTAAGAACTATTTTTTTTCACTTCCATCCTTTCCGTTCAAGCATTATTTGACATAAAATATATCGTATTTCCAATTACTAACGTCCGCTGCTCCCCCTAGGGTAGTGAAACGTGTGCCATGGCTGAACGATTTTGAACTTTATTAGCATCATCATAATTTTTAAAAGTTTCTTTCAGGTGTCCATTATTTTAATTCCTTTGATGATTAGCTTTGACCTTATTACCATGTTTTAGTCTGTAAAGAAGAAAAAAAAAACGTTTTTTGTCTCATGTAGTTCTTGAAATATATGTACAATTTTCAGACTACTACGTTTATATTAAACAGAATTTCGTGCTTAACTTAAACATGACTTAGAGAATATTTAAGTCGTAAAGAGACGACGACTCGAAACTACTTATTTAGCTATAATGTAACCAGATTTATGGGCTACTTTCTGCAGTTTAGACCTCCAACAACTTCTCCAAACAAGTATTAAAATGAAACCGAAACCCGTTAGAAGTCATACAAGGATTTGGGTTTTTCATTCGAAGTCATATTTATCCTGCCTCCACCAACTTCGCCAAATAAGTATTAAAATGAAACCGAAATTAGAAGTCATACAAGGATTTGGGTTTTTCATTCGAAGTCATGTTTATCCTGCCTCCTCCAACTTCACCAAATAAGTATTAAAATGAAACCGAAATTAGAAGTCATACAAGGATTTGGGTTTTTTCATTCGAAATCATATTTATCCTGCCTCCACCAACTTCGCCAAATAAGTATTAAAATGAAACCGAAACCCGTTAGAAGTCATACAAGGATTCGGGTTTTTCGTTCGAAATCATATTTATCCTACCTGTTTGCTCGAAATAATGATTGTTTATGAAAAAAAAAAACAATTATGTCTCAAGTATTTTGTGTTTTAAGGTCTTACATATCTTTGAATATATGTTTGTTTGACTTTTGTTGTTGTTTTTTCAAGAAGTCTGCTGTGTCTACGCTATTTTTCATTGGGGTTTTGTGAAATAAAAATAGTTAAACTATTATTTTAACAAAAAAGGACATTTATTCCCCTCCTAAGGTGAGTAATATCATTATTTTAATAACAGTTTGGATCTTGTTGTCTTAGTACATCAACTGAGTTGATAATTTAAGATCTGTGTGTTCTTTTCCAGTACTAAGTTCAAATATATTCGATAATCAACAAAAATACGCTTTCATTGTTTCATTTTCCTTGCGATAAAAAATAGCGAACTGGCATAACATGGACCTAACTTTGGTAAAAAAGTAGGCTATACCGTTAGGGTAAAGTACGTGCTGATAAAGTCGTAATATTAATTACTTCACTGCCTTGAGATCTTAATTTGATAGTTATGGGTAGAGCTTGCGTATAAGTATTTTATTTTGGATGTAATCGTCGATGTGATTATATGTTTGAAAGAACAGGGGTTTTCTATTTATTTTTTTATTTCGTCCGAAGAAGGATTTTATTTGGTGACTGATGTAGCACTAAGAATTCGAATGCAGAAGACTCAGTTTGTCTCTAAACGTGATCTGGTTATGTTTTCCAAATATTTTTTTTTTACGAGTATGTCTAAAATGGTACAGTTTTAAGCCTTCTTAGCTTTTCACCCCAAAAGTTATCATCTAAAAATAAAACCCTTAAATTTGTAGAAAGTCCAGGGGGAAGCTCCCCCTGCCCTGCGGGAAGAAAACTCCTGAAGGATTTGTTTGTTTGGTTGTAATTAAGCACAAAGCTACACAATGGGCTATCTGTGATCTGCCCACCACGGGTATCGAAACCCAGATTCTAGCGTTGTAAGTCCGCAGACAACCGCTGTGCCACTGGGGGGCCTCCTGAAGGAACGTTGTTTGTTTTACATATTCAGATTTAGCGTAGCAATTTACCATTCATATTCAGTACTTTTTAAAAAAAAACATTCATTAAACAACATTCTTTAAGACAAATCAGGATGTAAAGTTTTATTTCAGTTAGAAATAACTTAACGAATCTTCAAAATGTCTGGGGAAACTGATCGGCATTATCAAGATCGTAACTGGATGTTTTTTATTATTATTATTATTTATTTTTCTGTTGCATACTGTTAACACTTCGCGTGGAAATCAAAATGGGTGTCCTTAGATTAAAACTCACGTTTTTAATATACACATTTAGAGCGTTTTCACTTTATTACGATACTTTTAAATCAGTCGTTTCAAGTAGATCGTCAGTGGAGGTTGGTGAATCATTTGAGGGCAAACCGTTAAGTGTTGTGATTTTAAACTCAATAATTCTGTTCTATACATATGTCAAATTACAGCATTATATCTGTGCTTGGAGCATTTCAAATCAACCAAACGGATATGGACCGCCACGTGCGGGAAGTGAGTTTTATCATAGATTATGAACTAACAAGTTTACGAAGTATATGTTTAAAGCTATGGCAGAATCGATAATTGTAGGTAACACTCTTGTTTGTTAATACATTACTCCCCGTGTTTATTATGTGGTTTCTCTTTTGAGGCCCTCCGTTGGCTCGGCGGTAAACTTGAGGTCCTATAACGCTATAATTCTGTGTTGAGTCCCGGCGGTAGACACAGCAAAGATAATCCACTGTTGAGCTTTCCGCTTGAAAACAAGTAAATAACAAATCATATTTTAAGTGTTAATGCTGGGATTTTTTTTTTTTTAGGATTCATGTTTATATGTTTTGTCCAGAAGTTTCTGTTACATGTAACATAAACATTAAAATCAGAATTAAGACCTTCCATTGATTTTAATATATATCATTATTATTATATCTTATAAGCTTCGTTTTTTCTGCCCCCCCCCCCTCCAGTGGCACAGTGGTATGTCTGCGGACTTACAATGTTAGAAACCGGGTTTCGATACCCGTGGTGGGCAGAGCACAGGTAGCCCATTGTGTAGCTTTGTGCTTAACTTCAAACAAACAAAACAAAAAGTCGTTTTTACTATAATCAAAATATTCCATTGACTGTAATGTGTATTATTTATGTAACATATTAATATTGTATTAATATACAAAGTTTGAACGAAATAAAATTTGACGGAATTTATATTAATTCGGAATGTCCAAATCAATACTCTGTTTGCTTTGTTGTTAAGCACAAAACTACGCAATGGGCAACTATCTTCACTTCCCACCGCGGGTTTCGAAACCCGATTTTTTAATAAGTCCTCACACTTACCATTAGGCAACTGAGGATCTAAACTCAGTCTTTAAGTTTTTCTGTATGTAGTACCTCGGTGGAATAGCGGTAAGTCTACGGACTTATAACTCTAAAATCAGGGATATCGCTCTGCTCTAAAACAAGCAAACTTAAGGATATAATTCAAACAAAGTACAAAAAATCTCAATGTACTTCCAAGATATCAGGCTAAAAGTGGAAAATGTATTGCCATTTTTAAGGCGATTTTCAAATTAGGGTTGCATTGGTTATTTTTTTTCTTTTAATATAACTAAAGCTCTATCTTCAAATTTTACTAAAGAAATATTGACCCAGGTTGTTGTTGTTGTTCCTGTTGTTTTGTTATTGTTGTTTTAAATTCTTATTTTTTATCGCTGTTCACACTCTTGGAGCTACATATTTTTAACGATTTATTGATATACTTAATCCATCATAAACATTTATTTCACAAAAATGGAGTTCAACGAGGAGTTTTACGTTATTGGAAAAAAGTATTATAACACGGCCAGCCGAGAGGAATTTGTATTATAGATTGACAGCTTTCTTTCAACAACACTGACAAAGGTTAAAGATAAATTCTAGCTTCAGGATATGTAAAAAATGATCAAGTTACAGCAAGATATACCAGATATGATAAACAGATTTTAGTAAAAACTATATGCCCAAAGCCAGAAAATAACATCAGAGAATCATAAGCTATAAACTTTCTCTGCAAATATAGTAAACAATAAAAATAAAATATAAAATCAAAGATATAAACGGCAGGGAACAGTCAGGCACGTGGTAACCCGAATTACAATTTACAAACAGCGAAATAATATGAACTTTAGCACGCGCTATATGAATGTTTTCCCTATTTTCTTTGTAAATAATAATTCAAAAAAGAAAGAAAATATAGTCAAGGG